TTTCTGTGGAATCCTCGGCGGAATCCTACCGATTGTTGGAGGCAGATGTCTCCTTCAGAAAAAATAATAATAAATAAACAAGACAAAAAGGCATCAAAAGAATGTAAACATTCTTGGCTCTAGGCAGTGCTGCCAGAAAAGATTGAAAAAATGGTTTTCATGGTGGTTGAAGGGTGTTTCAGTGTGTCAAAAACTGTTTTTGATGTGTATAACACAAGGTGGCAGAGTGACTTACCCCCTGGCCCAAACATAAATGTTAGAATCAATAATACATCAGTACCTATTATAGAAAGTCATATTTTTTTGGGAATCCATTTAGATCACAAATTGTTATTTAATAAACACATAGAACATACGGCTATCAAAGCAAAAAAGAAAATAAATATTCTTAAAATAATCTCCAAGAAACGTAGTGGAGCTCATCCAGAAGAGATCTTAAGGATAACTAAAGCAATAGTTAGACCACACGGTCCTATCTGCTTTGATCGATTCTCTCTATCGATTTTCTCTTTTGATAACCACTGCTATTCAAATAGATTCCGTGCTATTTCAACCACATGGTTTGATAAAGGAAGTTCTTATCTAGCGTCCAAAACGTCAAATACCACAGGGAAACGTTTTGTTTCTGAGTTATCAACGAAAGAGAAAGTCGATGAAGAGAATCAATCAATGCAGATAGGACCTTTTGAAATGTTTATCTATACTTAGATTACGGAATCACATTAGATATGTTGGTTAAAACCAATTTTGCAAAGCTACAAACAGTTCAGTACTAACATTTGAAAACGGCGCAAAAGCCATTTGTAAACAAATGGTTTGTGGGCCCTTTACTCGCTACTCGAAGTACACCCACGCAACACAACAGCTACATCGGGTAGGGGCACCCCGGGAGCAACTAAACAGCTCCAGTGTAATGCTAATGTACCCCGAAAATTCTGGTACTCTGGTTCTGTCAAATCGAATAATGGTGGAGTAAATTTACAATTGGTCTTATTTTTTTATCAACTTTTTTTTCCCGTTTTTAAGTTTTTTTTTTTTTACTTTTTATAAAAACATTGATATTTTTTTCTAATAGTCTTCCAATCGACTCAGCATGACGGAATCGGAAAATGTCTGTCTATTTATGTGTGTGAGAGAGCGCGTAAGACAATTTTCTTATATGTATTTCTCGGCAACCACTCTACCGAATTGAACGCAACAACAACCAAATGAAAGCTACCATGATTCTATAGCATGTTAATTAATAGACTTTCAATCGATTAACTGGTTCCGGATATATGGACGGAACAAGACCCTAAAATCCGGGAACTAAGTGATGTTTGTCGGCAACCACATAACCGAAATAAACGAAACCCTTTAATCGGGCTACTGCCCAGTGCACACATAGGAAATAACCATAAAAAGTGCTTAAAAACCTGTGCAGGTTCCGAACTATGTGTCATATGGTTAAACCATTTGGGTTATGGTTCGTGTATGGAACATTTTTATTAGGGTGGTGCTTTCGGGGTAATTTTTAAAAATAATATCAGAATTTACAGAAATAAGAAGTGCCAGATCACACCACTGGTGGATTAATAAAGTTTTTTTTTTATTGTGACGTTTATTGATCTATACAGTAATCAATTCTCCTTCATTCTCCACGGAACAGTATCAGTTTAGTAAGTTTTTTACGTAGTGAAATCTTGATCCCACCGAAGTTTTTGGCGTACTGCTCCAGTCGATATTTAAGATAGAAATCAATGCATAATTTGATCAACATATTTCGATGGTTGTTGACAGCATCATGATCTAAAATGGGCAACCCCAGTAATACGTCTCACTCAAAATTTATTCTTGGTTTGCTTTCGACGTCCACATGAAGTGAAACAAAAACATGTTTTCTGATGTGAAAAAAGTTGTGCCACCAACGATGGCTGACCCCATTGTTTACGTACGGTGGAGACATCTACAATTTGCAAGTGGGTACGTGAAACTAAGGTCTTCTGTCTAGATGCTCGGGGGGTGGGTAGGGGAAATCTTCCCCTTCCTGACGATGCTGTTGGTTTGCGTGGGTGTACTTCGAGTAGCGAGTAAAGGGCCCACAAACCATTTGTTTACAAATGGCTTTTGCGCCGTTTTCAAATGTTAGTACTGAGTTTATCTCTTAGCACTAAGGTCTTAAGCCATATTAAAGGGATCATTGCAAAATGTTTGTCTTCCAAAAAAGTTCGAAGAGCTGTAATATTTTAGTATGTGCATTTAAATTGCTGAAATTTGGGCTTGGGGGAGGTAGCTCATCGATTCTTCCGGTTCGCCTCCTAGCATCGTGCTATAAGGTACCAGGCGATAACCAGGGTAGTTGATCGATAGCTCGATGACGTCATTTCGTTGGCGTCTGCAATGGGAAATTCTCATAGCAGGCGTTGACGATGGGACGTTGTCGAGTTGTTGAATACCAACTATCGTGGTAACTTACCAATTACCTGTCGATCTGCCAAATTTGGAAAGACGTCTGCATTGAATTGTCTCATATAATAATATTCCGCCCACTATATCACAAGAAATTGCGAGTAGCTGAGTGGAATGGAGATAAGTTAAGCATTGGGTACAGGACCAAGTCTCCCCTGGGTGGTGCCAAAAGATGAGCGCAATAGAATCATCAAGTTGCCATTAGGCACGGAATGAGACTATTGCATGGCTGGGTAGTCAAAGTCTTCCATTCGTTAGTCATTTCAAGTGGATTAGAACAGGTTTGGATTTTTCAGATATAAGATACATTCATACCATTGGCATTTGGTATTTGAGATAAAGACAGAGACAGGATGCGGAGGGCCCGCTTAGGGGGAGCGTAACCCATGTTATGGCTTCCATTTATTAAATAGTTCAGATAGGCTGGAAATGATAGGTTCATGGTGAGAAAATGTACCATATGGTGCCCGTTCACTGATCATTGCAACGTTGATGATTTCCTATAGTGACATATATCACCTTCTTAATGCTTCAGTATGCCTCAAACGATTAGTTCTTAGTTGTTAATAGAACTTCCTTGATGAAATCGGCTGCTTCATGCAGACTGAGCAATTCTGATTATAGTGTCAGATTTGTTCTGTATACAGAGGAACTGGGAGGGCTTATTAGAAACTTATCACCAATAAAATAATGATCTTCTAGTAAATTTTGCATTTAATTTTATTAATATTTTATTTTATTTAAGCATATTATTTTTGTTACAGTCAATTTGCATTAGCATATGATACAAGAGATTTAATATTACTTGCTCGTTTTCGCGTAAAATAATCAATATTTATCTTACTTGTAATTACTTTTGAAAGTTTTTTTTTCTTTTTTTTTTTTTTTTTTTTTTTTTGTGATCTGAAAATTTACCCAGTTTGGTTAGAAGTTTCGAAGCTAACGCATGTCCACTGGCCTAATAATAGAAAGATAGGCAGAACAAGTGTATCATTAAGAATGGTTGCATGCAGGGTTGCTTCCACTCACTTGCTATAGATGAGTGATTTTCGGAGTTTTGAATTCGTTAGATGTTGTAATGGAGATTTGTGCTGTTGGATGCGGGTGGAGATTGGAGGGCGGGTGTTTGATGCATAGAGCCTGTCAATTTCGCTTTCAGAGTGTCGCAGTCAGCGGTTTTATGATTCGTGAGCGCTCGCGATTCGTAGAATCGTTGATTGTGACTGCAAGTGGATTTGACGGGTTTTGTGTTTCGGACGCTTGTTTTTGGCCTTTTCTTGTGTCTAACATGTGCAGAGTATCATTATAACGTCTACTGGTTTTGAGATTCCTGGTGGCGTGAAATATATTTGTGAGAATATCTTTTTGAGATTTTAACAGTCACGTTTTGTTTGTAGTTTATATTTTATTTATTCATGTAATTATCGTAAATAATAGTTATTCAATAATAGATAGTTCATCCATATATTCGTACTTTGACGCGAAGCGCTGTGGATTATGAGATGCTTGATGACCCTGGAGGGATCGATTTTGCTTACTGAGCAGAAAATCATAGATTTAACCCCAAGCTCTTCAACAGCACAATAAATCGCCACCATCATGTGTATATTTGATATTAAACATTAACCTTGGAAACTATTTGCATATCAAGCGAAAACGTAGTCCTGTATTGTCGCGAAGCGTTATGGTTCTGAGATGCTCGATGACCCTGGAGGGATCGTTTTTGCTTACTGAGCAGAAAATTATGGGTTTAATCCCAAGCTCTCCGTCATGACTCTTAAAATTCATTATCACTAAACAAAATTAATATGTTCTTTCGATAGCCGGCTATCGAGAGATTAAATAAACAACAAATAAACAATACATACTTTTGGTTGCATCGCCAACTTGAGGTGAATCCTAACCGAATACCCTACCCAACCCTCCAACTCCGTAGCACTTATGAGGGTGTCGCTAAGTCGGTGGCCTCTCGTTAAGTAAGTACTACATCAACATTTCCTTCCTTATCCCTAGTTATGGTAAAGATGGGCGTGGCCGGGAATAGCGACAGTCATGCTTCTGTTACTCTTGTTTAGATTGGAACCAATGTTTACTCCTCAGCATTATTCCTGAAAGTAGTCTAACTGAGAATTTCAGAAGAGACGTGAGTGTCGCTAGTATCCAATCTACGAAGTATATCATAACAACGCTAACGCTAACGCTAACGCTAAATTGCTGAAATTTGGGCTGCTGGTTGATCAAATATTTAAAATTTACCGGTATTTTTTAGAGCGATGATGAGTTGACTCTGCATAAAATATGAGTAATTTCCTAGGGTAAGTTACTCCGCACACCAATTTTTGGTCAACATTTTTCTCAATGTGCCGCAAGTGTGCCGATTGTGCCGGTCATAGGGCAAGCTGCGATTTTTTGTGAAACACGAATAATATGGTATATTTGGCAACCCGGTATTTCTGACTGACAACGGCTCCGAAAATGTCGAATATCGTGCTCGATAAGGATTCCTTCTACCGACGAATAAAACGCCTCTTTCCCATGATGATTCGTTGTAGAAGGCGGATTGCATTCTGACGGCGGTCAGCGTAGACGAGGAAACCATCTACAGTAAATCCACCTCGCTGCAGTCCTGGCTGCTAGGATACGAGCTGACTGATACGATTACGGTGCTGTGCGAAAAGTCCATCTTTTTCCTGACCAACAAGAAGAAGATCGAGAAGGACGGTGAGGAAAAGTTGCTGGAGGCGATTAAGGTATCCAAGGATGGCAAAACGTTGGGCGTCTTCTCCAATTACAACTTCCCGGGTGAATTCTGTGAATCATGGCAAGCCTTCGTCAAGGACAAGAGCTTCGATACGGTGGACATCAGTGTCCCAATCGGGTACATCATGTGCTCCAAGGCCTGCTTGATGACGGTAGACGTATTCAACAAGTACCTCAAGTATCACATCATGGAGATTATCGACGCTGATAAGAAAGTAAAACATGCCAAACTGTCGGAGGGTGTCGAGCAGGCTCTGACGGACAAAAGCTATGTCTCCGGCGATTATCCAATCGGGTGGCTAGAAGTTCATTGCGTTCAGCGATAAGAACTATCTGCATTTCTGATCGATCATCTGTGCTCTGGGTGCGCGTTACAAGTCATACTCCTCCAATGTCGTCCGAACGTTGCAGGTCAATCCGACGGAAACGATTCAGAAGCACTACACCTTTCTCCTCAATCTGGAAGAGGAACTGCTTAAGGTGATGATTCCGGGCAAGACGCTCTCGGAGGGTTTCGACGTCGGAATGGATTATGTCAAGAAGGAGGATCCAAGCAAAGACGTTCGGTTTTGCCATCGAGTTGAAGTTCCGGGAGAATTCGAGTAAGTTGTAAGTTAATTAGGTTGATTGGAATCAAAAAATTCCGTGTAATTTTGCCGTGAAAAGTACTTCGGCCTTGTTTTTCAGCAGCAAATCACCAGCACTCATTCAATTGGTCATCTACCAAACAAAACTCACTTGAATAATACCGAACTGCTTTTCACGGCACAATCACACGGAATTTTTAATGCTTCCCTAACCAACCTAATTAACTTACATTTTTTTTTATTTTATGCTACAAAAATCCAAAACTATTCCACTTTGTATAAGATGACACATATCCGAAAATAAAACTACTATTTTACTTAATTCTAATTTAAATAGGAATCTTACTTCAAATTTCCATACGTCACATCGGTGGTAAGGCCACAGTTGATACCCTTAACTTAACCGCCATGAAAGCATATCCATCGTTGCCCCAGTAGGTGGACCAGGAGTTCTTGATTAGCCAGTAATTTTCTCCTTTGAGTTTTCCGTATCCAACCGCCACCACTGCATGTGAATTGTCTTGTAGCACGTAGTAGCTGAAAGACTTGTGACCGGCATCGATAGCAATCGACAGCCATCGGAAGCCTACATTTTGTAATTAAATGTGAACCGAGAAGTGAATTTCTGGTCTGAGTTCCTCTAATATATTCAATTAGAGTATGTTTCTGAAATACACAGTCAAACAGCACCTAATGTTGTGAACAACTTCAATGACAGCTGTCCGGCAGTGCTCCCATTTTATTTAATGAACATTCCAATGCCTACGAGAATGTGCCGATGGATGTGCCCAAGCTGTGCCGAATGAACTTTCAGAACACTGTGATGAGTGAGTACCCTAATATGACCGGCGGCCCAAGGCGAACCAGCCAATGGCTGAAAGCCTTGTAAATAAAGGAAAAAAAAATTATAATAATATGACCGGTACTGTATAATTAATTTTGAAGGCTAGGTAATTGCATCCGTTAGAAATGATTACTGCTTTTTAATTAGACGTAACCCAACAGACAAACTACCAATTACCAAAAGGAAACGTCATTAATTTTCAAATATTCAAAACCAGTTTTTCGTTCAAAACCAAAATTACGTACACGAAAGTTTGTTCATTGGATTCTACTTGCCTGCTGGAACACAGTGTACACTTTTTCATTGACAGAATTTCGGGTTTTAACGGAAAAAACTGCTTTTGAATTTCCAAAAAAAAAAATGGCGTCCGCTTATCCCTAAAAGGATTATGTTTATAATTGAATTGATGACAAACTACACTACACTACACCTTTTGAAAGTCATAAATTTTGAGTATGTGCATATGTTTTCAAAACATTTGATAAAAACTCGTTGTCCTCTTCCAATGATGATACGAAATATGTACTTTGTCCTTCTTTTTCTCTAAAATTGAAATGAAAGGTCCTCCTTTTAATTTTTTTGAATAGGTAACCCTACTCCCAGGTATAGAGTTCTCTATCACCGTTAGTATTAGTGAGAAGTTTCACTAATACTTGCATTTTCCTGGTTGAAAATAAAAAACAAACCGCTGTCAAGTCGAAAACTTTGACAGCTGATTTCGTGGTTGAAAATAATAAACAAATCGATTTTACACGGCTACGCTCGCTAGGTTGGATTTGTGAGATCTTGCGTCGAGAAGTCAATAGCTGTTACATTGAACTATGAAAAATGAAACGCATTTTAAACCCCAACAAGATTTTCGTGTCCGGTTTTTTTCGTGTTCAACTTTTATAAACTTGCTGCAAAACCAAAACTACAAAAACAAAAGGTTACACTCTGAAAAATCGTCACGTCCGATTTACGTGAAAACATTGGTGGTTTTCGTCCACCCTATTTTTCACGGAACTTTTACCGGAATTGCACGTAACCGATCAAAATTCAGCTTCGATTATCTACGTAATTATTTATGTAAATAAGACCTGATTTCCTCCACGAACTGCTTACGTGAAATCGGGGTGAAAACTACTGGAAAACTGCCACACTTAGAACATATTACCGAACTCGGTTTGATTTCAAATACAAAGTACAGTCAAAAAAAATAACACTGACTTTGAAGCTAGGGGAAGTACAACTTGATCTGAAGTAATATTTGGTGTAAAAATTGCTCAAATTGGTAATTATTATAATTTTTAGTATAAATATTAATGATATTAGCTGTCAAGCGGAAAGCTTCAAAGTAAAAAAAAAATACAGTGTAACTTTAACGCATACACTCAATGACATTTCACCGTTGTTGTTTATGCTTACTGCAGCTTTTTGTTTGCCAATTTCGACTTCGGCTTTTCATGATAAAAACGATACTGGACGTTCTCCAAGTTGCAGGCTTTTGGCGAATCGAGAGTAATAGGAACACGGAACCATCACTCTGGGACTCCGCTTACAGGGGTGGCGTAGTCAGTCGACTCCCGTTCCATCGGAGGACAGCACATTGGTTCGCAGACGATGAAGAATTCGTGGAAATTAATGACTATTTCCTGGAAACGGAAGTGCGGCCGATTATGTGCACTGAGATCAGCTACCAAACAATGCCGAATTTTATTAGTAAAGGAGCGGTGGCCAGCAAGATAATCAAGGAATAACTTGCCTCTCGTGTGAAATCCATTTTTGACTAAACGAATGTCAAATGTACACTTAAAACCAAAAATAGTCAAAAACAAAAAAAAAAACAACTGTCAGACTAAGTATAAGATTCGCAAATATCACACATATTAAAATATTTAATATTTCCACCATCGGTATTGATGCTGATACTTGGAACTGTCCTTCCCCTAGCTTTGAAGTCATTCTTATTCAAATGGTTTTTAAATGCCTTTGCAAGCCAGAGACATAATCTTGTACACTTTCACGGCAGTAGAGACAAACTATAGCACAAGATTCCTGCAAATAAAATCATACAGTTAGTTTCAAATACTTACAAAAGATTTTAATCAAACTTGCATCCGAGGGGGGCGACACATCTAAATCTCAATTCTAGATGCTCAAAAAATCTCACAGTAGCGAATAAATCTTCGAAAAATCTTCTTTCATTTCTCGCATCTTCTTGCATCGCGCATCATATTTTTGCAAGAAATCTTCAAAATCGTGATAAATCTTCTTACTATCTGCTCAGCGTACGCACAGCTAGCCACAGCAAAACACAATATTTCCTGCATCGTAGATTGAGTCGTCCCCCTTGCGTGCATCCTCCTGTTACAGCTGCTCCAGAACTTTTTCCCTTTTTACTAAAGTTTTGCACACGTCCGATGAGCACACGCGAGAAAAAATGGCTGACTAATTTTAGACTCAGCTTAGAGAACCGAGTTAAAATTTCCATCGCGAAGTTGAGCGCAAGTTGAACGTTTGACGTTTAACAAGTTTTAGCGAATATTCGGTTCAGTTTACCGAGTTTCTCGGTTTTCACGTAGCGAATTCGTAAATGTCGATACTTTACCGTACTGTTCGGTTCAGTCTTCATTTCTATCTGTCAAATTTATACCACCGACAAACCGACATGAAACTTAAACTTAACTCTTGATCGAGAATCCAGAACCTCCAATTCAAATGTGCAGCGATCCCATCTGTCAAAGCCATAGAAATGTTTTATCTAGATACACATAATTTGTCCAAAATAGGTTAGACACGAACCAACTCATACATTTTGTACGCGTGTTCGTGGCTAGGATACACACTTTCCACGAACACGGCGGCAGATGTCAGTTTAGTGCTTTGATCAGAAATTTATTTGTAATTTGTATGATCATTCATGTCGGTTTGTCGGTGTTTATACTCTTTTACCGAAATTCGGGTCTGCTTCGATAAACGATAGTTTTTAAACCATTTATTCGGTTTCTCGTTGGTAACCGAAGAGGTTCGGTAGAAAATTAAACCGAGTTCGGTATTATTTTCTAAGTGTGTGGTAACTTTTACGTGATATTCCGTTTTGTTTCAAATGCTTTTCACGTAATTTGTACGTGAATTTTGAATAAAAATAATGGAACTTATATGTAGAAGCAGTCAATATTATGCAATTTCATCGGGCTGATATAAATTCCATAGGTAGAAATGTTTATGAGATTTTTTTTTTATTTCTGTCAGAATATCAATAACTGTTTGCAGACGCAAAATGCTGATGCCACCGTCTGAAATTATCAAACTAGAAAAGGCTACATATAATAATAAATATTGTTTTGTAAATGAATCAAATTACCGTCCAATATTTATAGTAACGCTGCTGGGAAATTTTGAATTTTTTAGGTGTTCTTCCACCGCGCTTGGTGACGCGTACCTGGAAATCACGTAAATCTCGTTTCGCGGAAATATCGCTACAAATACACTAAATCTGTTTACATGAATATACGGTCGATTTCACCAACATTTTTAGTGGACATGACGTGTAATGCAGGTCAAATTTACTAACGTCACGTAAGATTTGCGATTTTCGAAATACATATAAGTTACGTAATATTTCACGTAAATCGGACGTGAGGATTTTTTAGAGTGTAGAACATTAAACAAAGATGAAAAGCCGGACCTGCCGGGCTTAATCTTGTAATGCCACAACATGCCATCAATGGAAATAAAGACATTTTAGTAGTAGTAATAGTACTACGGTACTACTACAAGGTGATTCTTACACGCCTTATAGCCTATAAATTTGATTTGTCAAGCGTTGATACGGAATTCAATGATCTGAACTAGAATCTGAACCTTTAAGACTCGAGTCCAGTCTGCTCCATTTTATGTTTTTTTTTTTTTAATGTTTTATATCTGACATTATATTTCATTGCTTTGACGTATGAAATATGTTTCATAAGTCGAACTTATGATTTCCATTTCCATGTCCTATTTCATAAGTGGTTCTTATGGAATTCTTAAATTTTTACGGCATTATTATATGAATTATAATAATGGAGTAGTAATCTCCAACTCGGATTAACTTTTAATACCTTCCCTGTCTGGATGATCTGCAAAATGTTTGCATAAGGTCGTGTCGTTTAACTCGGATGTCGATGTCAAAGCAGCCGGATATTCTTGATCGGGATTTAATCCGAAGATAATACCGGTTGGAGCTTATCACCATTAATGAAAAAGATTTAAGGTATTTGTTTGCATTTTCCATGCTAATTTCTAATTAAATTTAGTTCAAAACCTCCCCCATTTTAAACGGCGCATCTTCCCTTTGATGTGTACTTGCATACGAATGTACGGCCGTATCGTACCCATCATGCATCACACAATCAACACACATGAAGCTTCCCATATCTACAATTTTACACACCACTGCAAGCAGTGAAACAAAATATACTGTTCCCTGTATACCATCGTAAATACCAACGCATTCAATCAAGAGTGTGTTAATGTATACAATTTTATTATTTTTACTCTGTTTGTTGTTTTTGTTGCTTACTATTCTGTTGTTGTTGCTATTTTTCAATGTATTTATTATGCTATTGTAGGCTACCATTACCACCAGAGGGACCGTCTTCATTCAGTGTATAGTACATCGCACAACCAATAGCCTCTCGCTCTCTGACGAGTCTCGGGTCTCAGCAGCAGCAGATCCGTGGTCCATAAATCCAAGTCCAAGTCTAGGTAGGCAGTGGCACCATCATCATCAGTAGTTTGTTGCTGGTGGTCAGTGGCAACTTTAATCCGAAAAGCGAAAGGAACGAACAACATTGTGTGGAAAAGAAATGGGCATAAACGAGTGGAAGAGAAAATGTCAAAAGAGCTTTTCTGCGGTGCAGAAAATTTGATTGGGAAAATATTTTTCCAGTAAAAAGTTGGTTCGGTGCTTGGTTGGGGGAAAATCTTGCGTGGGACAGATTTTCCGGCTAGGTCTGGAATGTGAAGGAAAAGAAGTTTTAGAAGAAGCAGCAGCCTAGTAGACAGTGGTGACAGATCGAGGCAGAAGGTACGAAGTACGGAGCTAGTAAAGTAGACAGAATTGCTTGCAATCGAGTGATGATCGTCAGAAGGCTCATATTAAAGTTGAATGTGAATATTAGTGGAGAAAATGGTGACAGTGCTAGATAAATTCTCAGTGGATCGAAAAAGGGAAATTAGGAAGTAGAAAGGTGAGTCAGTGAACGACGGCGAAGAGGAAGGGACGACAGACGACAGAAAGCACGACGACGGCGATGCAGTGTATAGAGGAGTGAAGTGTGTGGTACACAAGTTTCAGACAATCTCGGTTCGTTCTGTGGTGGAAAATTGCTGCCCTAAAGTGTCAAAAGTGATACACTTACGGTTTCACTTGGCCAGATGAAATGGATTAAAACGTGAGTAAATCGAGTAAACAAACAAGTTCTTGCTACGTATTAAGTAATTCAGTGGCACGATAAGCTTAGTGAACTTGAAATCGGTGATATCGTAACCAATTGAAGGAATCAGTGATAGAAGAACGAAAGTCGGCGGTGACGGTGGGTGGGTGACGAGGGGCTGTCATTGAGCCTTGCAGCCTTTTCCGATGGCTCACATCCGGAAGCGTCCCGAGGGGAACATCCTCGGGCATTTGGTCAGCCGCGAGCTCGGCGACACTGTCGACAATTTTCGCAACAATCTGTTCCACGAGCGACTCCGGATAGCTCGGAACCTCTACAAGAAGGACCTGGTTTCGCACTACGGCTGTGTCAATGCCATCGAGTTCAGCCAGGAGGGTCAACTCCTAGTCTCCGGTGAGTGTCTTTACCAATCAAAAATTGAATGGTTTGTCTTCCACCCTCATCCCGGTATTCATTCATGTTGAGGTGCAAAGCATAGACAATATCAATTATGTTTACGTTTTGTGTGATTTTTGTGGATGTGAACAAATTTTCCTTCGTTCAATATCAATGTAGGTACCCTCGCCTCTCTCTCTCTCTCTCTCTCTCTGTCTGTCGCTCAGCCTGCTGATGTGCTCGTGTGTATTATTTTTTGGCAACGCCGCACAACACGGGCGGATTGGAACGACGACGACGACCACAATTAACAGCAGGAACGTACAAGCAGAGAGTAGGACTGTGCAGATATCAAGAAGGAAGGAAAAATCTAACAAAATGGCCTTTTGCCTCTGTATGCCGATGAATACTGTGAGGAATATCAACTTCGATTCCAATATCATCTGTAATCATGGAAGGGATAATATTTATGAGAAAGAAAACGTTCGAAGCGAATAAGGGGAGACTGACTAAACGTATTTGCCTGGGTATCTTCCGGTCTGATTTCCTGTATTTTTATATCAAATTTAATACAGTAATTCTCTTAAATTTAACTTAAATTAATTAGATTAAATTTGACGCCCACTTTCCGGTTTTTTTGTTTTTGTAGTCTTCTAAGGTTTAGAACTACTAAATGGCCTGGAAATCATCAAAATGGCCTTGATACGGAAAATTAAAACTTATTCAAACAAATATAAAGTTCATGATAGATTTACAGTTGATTACCCGTTTTAAGGCAATTTGAGCTGTATACAGTTTTTTTTGTTTCAAGCCTATTTAGGTGTTTTTATGTTCTTCTATGCAAAGGTGGAAACAGTACATTTTTTGCAAAACTATCGTCTAGAGCAAATCAAAACAGCCAGCACACGGGCGGTCGTGTATTTCTACATTACAAGCAAACGGCGGAGATAGAGAATAGGAAAAATGTCGTAGCCCATTATTTTTCAAACAGTTTATTGAAATTATATTTTATAGCTGCAACCTTGCGTGTGGCAGTAAATTATCAACTCTCTTATGTACGCATAATTTTAACATCTATGCTTATGAGTGGTTGGTATTCATTCTTATCTTATAATTCCATGCAATAAACATCACATTTCTTTTGTAACCCCCTCAAAAGTTTGTAATATCACAAAGGGGAAATTGAATAAAAAACAATTTTTTTCTATAGTGATTCAACAATTTCCGAGCTAAATCAAACCTTTTCCAAATTGGTTTCAATTTTTAGAAGTGAGGCCAAATCAGAAACGATTCAGGAAATTCTTAATTTTGGTGACATTTTTCAAAACAGTTTCAAGACTGAGTCTGAACTTTTTTGAAGTGAGTTCCAACTTTCGAATAAGTCATCAACATTTTTCTGACTGAGTCTAAACTTTTCTGTTATGTTAGGGAAGAGCGCTACTTCGTCGTAATCACCCATTTCCGTTCAATAATATCAATGATTTCACTGTGTACAAATGGTTTGTGGTTTGTTCCGATGCGTTAGTTCATTAGCTACAACATAAATCCTGTTTGAGCACATTGTATGAGTATTTACGCTCATTGTTCTCAAAACAAAAGAAGCGCTGCTAGCGAATCCCCTTTTTCTACGTTTATCCGTAGGACGAAGAAAATCTAATGGCGTTTCAATGCGTTAGGACGGAATTGAAACTCGTAGGACGAATTTAGAATCAAGAAGCAGTATTAGATTTTGAACATTATCTCATCAATTTGTGGCTCTTTATCAAATCCAACGGTACGTATGGAAAGGTGAATAAATTTAGAAGTCATCTTTGACAGAAATATTCCATTTTTTGTTTAAACTCGTTCAGAAAAGAGAAGTAAAGCGCAAGTTGTGCTTAGTAGGACGGGAATTATATCAAAAACCCTATTCAATCTTTTTTAAAGTTGTCAAAGCTTGCCTAAAGTGATCCAACATCTCCCGAACCCAAGCTTAAAAGAATTGGTCTCACATTTTCTGGAGTGAGGCCACGTTAGCAGATTTAATCCCTTTCCTAATTGAATCGTAGGTTGGAACTGAATCCATACGTGAATCTGGTTAATATAAACAAAAGTATGTATTTTCATAGAAATTTGATTTTTCTGTTTTGCCGATATGAATTTTGGTTACTATCTTCGAAAAATAGGCTTGTATTTTATAGAATAGAATTTGCTGTATTCATACGTGAGGGTTGAATTTCCCAATTTTTGAGAAAATCGAGTTTAAATTCACAAAAGTACGTATTTTCATAGAAAATTTGATTTTCTGTTCTGCCAAGTTGAATTTCGGCTCCGATCTTTGAAAAAAAGACTTGGATTTTATAGAATGGACCTTGCTGAATCCATACGTCAGGGTGGTTGAATTTTTGTGAAACCGTGTTTAAATTCACAAAAATAGCCAAGTTGGATTATGGCTCCGTCCTTTGAAAAATAGACTTAGATTTTATAGAAGTATCCTTGCTGAGTCCATATATATACGTGATGGTAGATTTTTTGTAGCATGCACATTTTTTTTAGAAAACTTGGTTTAAAGTCTCAAAAGTACGTATGTTCATTGAAAGCTGGGTTTCCTTATCACAGGGCTGGTAGTCTCTTTTTTTAAGGCCAAGTCACTAAAGTCACTTTTTCTTGTAATAAGTCACTGTTTCAAACTTTTTTTAAATTTGAATTTATTTCAAGATTGACCATTCTTCTGGATAGGCCTATATTTTGTTTTATTTTTGAACAATTCGAAGTTGACGACCTGGTACAGAGATTTTTTACGTTTAATCGTTCTTCTCTATCTACAGGGTATCCTAAATAAAGTTCCCTGAGTTTTCCAGGTTTTTCCATAACTTTGGTGGATAATTTTCAGGTTTATAGGGTAAACACTCCTATAGTTGCGGTACGTTAGAAGCGTTAGGTTCCTATAGTTGTGTATTGAGTCTCCATGCACAATTATAGGAACATAACGCTTCTAACGTACCCCTAATAAGAATGCTATTTATGAAATGCGTTAAAAATATGTTTTTAACGCAAACGTTTCAAAGACACGACAATCTGTTTTAAAGAACATGTTGAACACTTACTTCATTTTAGTAAGTCTAAGTTCACAACATTTTTTGTGTCTTGACGTTTCGTACTATCAAAAATGTGGAAACTTTAATGAAGTTCTATTGATCTCAAAAAAGCTAGATCTAGAGATCCTTGGGGAATTTCAGAGATCTTAAGGGGAAGTTTCCGAAACTTTAGCCCAGACTATTAAATTGGTTTAAAATCTTTAAGCGTGAGTTTAGACAAATTCAGGACAGTTCCACCAGATGCTGAAATAAAATCGAGAACCCTTAAGATGTTCCGAGAGATTCAGTATAGAGTCCTTCAGAAAATTTATGAAAACTTCAGAAATATTTCAGGAATTTCACAGAAATCCATAGAATTCCCGGGAAGTTTAAAGGTATTTACGAGAATCACATTTATTTTAAAGCAGAACTGAGATTTTCATTAGAGTTGAGAGTTTTAGGGAAGCTCCGAGAACATGAAGACAGATCAGAAAATTAAAGGGTTGGTCTAAAAATTCAGAAACCGCAATTTCCGGAAACTTCGGTTTGCTCAGAGAAAATTTCTTGAACGCAATAAAAATTATATGAACATCCGGAAAATGTGAGAGTATTTCAAGGGTGTTATATCATTAGTTGATTAGAGAACATCAATGAAGTATCAATAATTAAAAAAAAAAGGCAACAACTTTTAGCAAGCACCGATATTTTCAAGAAATTCAAAAGAACTTCTAAGAAATTTAGATATTTTTGATTGTTTCATTATATTCAGTGAAGTTGCGAGTACTTCGAGGACGATTAGGTAACATCAGAAAAATCCCATTAACTCAAGGAAATTTGCAGCGACTTACAAGGAGTTCCTGGGATATTCCGAAAAAATCTATGATTGATCTGGAAGCTTTAGAAGCTTCAGGGAATTATAAATATATATCAAAAAATTTACCGGAACATTTCATCAATTTAGAGAAATTAAGGTAAGCATAGTAAACTTCTTGCAGGGAAAATTAGTGCTTTAAGGCAAAGGTCCGTGAGCGTTTATAAACTTCATAAAACTTAAGGAAAATTGTAGAACTTAAAGGCAAATAAATCAATTTCAGTAAAATGGTCGGTTCTTTTAAAAAATACTAAGGCAGGGGGCAGTCGAGAGAATTTTAAGGAAATTGAGGAATATTTTGGGCAGTTTAAAAAAAACATCAGGAAACTTTAGACTATTGAAGAAGTTTCGAATTTGTTTCGATAATTTGAACTTCAGACAAATCTTGAGAACTTCAGTGAAAATCATAGAACTACAGTAATGACCCGATTTTATCAGCTCACTTTTTGAAAATCTTTTCTAATGTTTTACGAAACCCGTGCGCTTTTCAGTTGTCATATTGCACCAAAATATATTTTAAACATTTATCTTGAAAATGCATGATAAGGATTTGGAATTACAGCTATTTGAAATTATAAAAAGATAAAAATTTGATGCGTGGAGGGGCTGACAAAATCGGGTCATTAATGTATATTAATTATTTCGCTGTGGAGCGGAAGCCTAAAGAAGCTCCTGAAATTTAAGAATAACTTCGAAAGTTCCACAGAAGTACAGAGATATTCAGAAACATTTCGAGAACTTCATAAAAGTCTGTGGAACTTAAGGGAAGATCTGAGAACTTCAGGAACTTTTATGATCAGATAATTTTAGTAAAGGTCTAAAATCAAAGGGAATTTCAGGGGAGTTCAGTTCAATTAGTTCCACTAAATAAGCGGGAAATTTCAAGAAGTTCCCAGATTTTCAGAGAACTTTAGAGATGTTAAGAAAATTATTGAGGTTTTCACATATGTCCAAAAGTTCACGCAAGCACTTTTTAGAACATTTCAACTAAATTCATGGCAGTACAATAAGCTTCATGAGAACTGCAAACACTTAAGAGAAGTTTCGATAACTTCGAGAAAAATATTGATCTCGATAATAAAGCTCTAAAC